GTTAAAGACACTAAGCAAGCTGAGGACCAGATCTCGGGACGCCCCAAGACGAACTTGATTCACTTAGGCGGGTTTATTCACGTGCAAGGGAGTAACAGGAAGGAGATCGATACACGTATTCGAGCAGGTGCCATCGGCTGGTGCAATTTACGACAGTATTGGTTCTCCTCGGGACCCTGGCGGAGCATGCGCAGCACATTCTTAGCTAACGTAGCAGGTCGGGTTTGGTCGGGGCTCGAGGCGTACGTCTTGACGCCTAACGAGTTAAAGGAACTCGATACATCGCTGGCGAAGAAGCTACGGGCAATGTTACACGGACGTGCGCATGTTGAACACGAGGACGGCACACGCACATCTTGGACCACCATGCAGATATTTCGAGAATGGCAGATACCACCCACTGGTGTAGAAATAATGGTACGACGACTAAGATGGCGGCAGTCTATCGCAGGGAACCCCACGCACCACAGTCACTACTTGAGCATATTCTTCGGAGAGTATTTATTTGAGCAGCGAGCGAGAGCAGCAGGGAATGAGGTAGCAGATGTCACGATATTGCCCAACGGGGAGCTTAACTCCTCCGCCAAGGTTCACCCCTGGGCCCTCCAGTTCTTCCAGGACCTGCAGGTTGTTCTCACCCACCCGATCGGAGAAGAGCTCACCGATGTCTGGCAACCCCGTACTATGGAAGTTTTTTTTCGGGAATCCCGAGGTCGTCGAGGTTTTCAGAGCCTGTGATTTTCGAGCTTTGCGAGCAACGATCCAGGCCCGCGAATGGGCTCCACCCGAGTTTCTCCTGGAAATGATGCCGGAGGAGGAGGAGGAGGTGGGGGGCACTGAGAGCGACGAGGCCGAACTTGCTCCTCTTCGGTGCGGTATCGAAGGATGTCGGGCGAGATTTGCGACGAACAGGGAATTGGTCAAACATCAGATTCACGCGACCAGCCTCCCTGGCCACGGCACCCCACCGATACTGTCCGTGATCACAATTGACAACAAGTGTCTTAACTGCCAAACAGTGCTCAGCAGCATCGACAACACAAGAAGGCATCTAAGCGGTGCATGGAGAGCAGGCCGTTGTATCCCACACCTCGTCCGCCACCGTCATGACTGGATCCCTTCTTCTGCCACGCGATGCCCATTATCTGATGAAACGGATCGCCCAGAGTGTCAGCAGCGGTACGACGGTCCTGAACAATTGAGGGCGCACTTGGCGACCCACGTCCCACCGACGTCGGAAGGGTTTCGGCTCAAACTTGCCCAGCCACAGCCAGCACACAGTGCCCGCCCCAGTGCGAGCACAGCGGAGGCACGACCTCAGCCACCGTGCGCCCCGAGGCGAGATTCGCCCACCGTTCGAGCACAACTACGAGCAGGATACCTACGGCTTGCTGAACGACGACGGGAGCGCCGACTGGTGCAGGCTGGACACGCTGTACGGCGACGAGCGAGCACACCACCCCCTGGCCTGGCCGCTGAGTGGCCTGCCGACCTCCCAACAAGAACATCGCGGGTGACAGCCGCGAGTACGCCATTGCTGCTTCCTAGACGGCAACCAGCTGAACCAGTTCCTGATGGCGGCAGCCGCGGGGGCAGCAGGAGCGGCAGCCGCAGCGGCAGCGCCCGCGGCGCTGGGCAGGCCGAGAGCGACGTGGAGGACACCGGTGGCCTCCTCCCAGGCGTCTGGCGCATCTGGAAGAGGATCGAGCAGCGCAGGCGCGGGGGACAAGAACGAGAAGAACGAGAAGATCGAGAAGGACAGCAAGAAGCACCGCAAGGGCGACAAGGACGGGGACCAGGACATGGACGAAGGGAGCGGAGCCGCTCCCTCCGCGGGCGCGGGCAAGGGAGGAGGCCGCGGTGGCGGCAAGCCACGCCACCGCGGAGGGAGACGGCACCGCCGCGGGGAGCACACCGAGAAGAAGTGGACGAGCAAGGACGCGAACATCCAGCAGTGCTTGGCCTCGGTCTGCAAGCTGGTCTTGCAGACGACCCAGCGCCAGAGGCTCACGATGGCCACCGTCGTGGACACGTTCACCATGCCGAAGACGCACGACGTGATCAAGCAGCTGCAGGCGACCCTCGAGGAGTACCGCAAGATGGTGCAGGAGGCGCGCGAGAAGAGCGCAGACGAGCTGAAGAAGGTTGGCAGCCCGACCGCCTCATTGGCGATCACCCTTCTCGAGACGCTGCAGGGCTGCGACGTGGGCGGCCAGATCAAGAAGCAGCTGGGAGACTACCTGGAGGCCGTGGAGCCCGCGCAGGGCACGCAGGCCACCGTCACCAAGGAGATGATCGAGCTCGACGTCCTCGCGGTGAGGATCGAGCAGCCGCACGACCAGAGCAAGGCGAAGCTCCTCCTCGCGGCCCCCCACTGGCCCATGCGGGGCGTGGTCACGAGGGCTTTCCTCGCCGAGGGGGAGGCCGCGAGGATGACGGGCGTGATGCCCCCTGGCTGGCTCGAGGACGAGGTCGCGAGCTGGCTGGACGTGCTGCAGGG